ATAATTCTAAAATAAAAAATATATACATATTTGAACAAATATTAGACAACCCTTATAATTAGAAATGTATTTAATGACTGCAAATAAAATAGTTAGCTCCCAAAGGTTTCACCGGGACGTGCTAGGCAGGTAACAGCTAAGCTAGCTAGCTGTTTCATGGTAACTTCCGGGTTTTTCGCGATCGCTTTTTGTCACTTTAAAACAGTATTTTTGTCATGAAAACGTTTACAGCAAATTCTGAAATCATCCGTGCATGTGTGTTAAGGATGTATATGTGTACTGTATTGTCCGATTAACGTTTAATGGTGTTGATTGATATGTATTTGTTTATTGAGCGTGGCTAGCTCCGCTAGCTTCTCTACACAAGTGTGTAGTGACAGGCGCTGATAGCGTGTTGTACTTGCAGAGTAATGTTAGTATTTTACACTCCTGAATTACAAACAGAGGTTGCATTGGGGCTGCGGTCATTATTGGTTTGAGAGTTCAGTTATCAAGAAAAAATGATCGGAACAATTACATTCAAGTCAATGGAGTGTTCTGCTGCTGCTGTGAGGAGCTGTATAATAAATTATAATTAAATATTAGAATATATTCTAATGTTTAAATTAATACATCCGGACGCGAAACGTATTCTTTTACTTATATATTGTGTTAGCAGTGCGTTGCTTTAGTGCCATTTCATCAGTGATTGTTGCACAGCTTACAAGTTACGCTAATGCTAATGTTAGCATACGTATCAGATCGCAAATAAAACTAGGTGGCTCTGTGTTATGAGAGCGTAGCGGAAATGAGAACTCTGTGAGCGAGCTGGGGGGCGGTGCTAAACATTCAAACATTGCAGAAACAGGTATAGCACCTTTAACGGAGTCTTGGAGCAAACCAAGACCTTAGTATGAAATGTTGTTTGTACTGTGGTGTGGTACGGCCAGGGTAGACCAGTCCAAACCTGAATATTATTATTATCATTTTCTGACCACTAGAGGCGCCCTCCCCCTCCATCCAAACCAGTGTCATTCCTCGTTAGTGCTCGCTGCTCATTCAAACTGATCGCAAACCAGACAGCTATACAGACACACAGAGACACACACAGAGACACACACAGAGACACACACAGAGACACACACAGAGACACACAAAGACACTCACACACACACAGACACACACACACACACAGACACACACACACACACAGACACTCACACACACACACACTCACACACACACACACACACACACAGACACACACACACAGACACATACACACACAGACACACACACACACACAGACACACACACACACACAGACACTCACACACACACACACACACACACAGACACTCACACACACAGACACACACAGACACACACACACACACACACACACAAAGACACTCACACACACACAGACACACACACACACACAGACACAGACACAAACAGACACTCACACACACACACACACACACACACACACACACCTACCTTATCCCCGCACTGGCAACAGTAAACAATCTCGCAAATTAACATATAAAGTGGAAAAGGTCCACGTTGGCCGCTGCAAAAGCAAACCACCATCAACCCGTGTCTCTGCAACACACACACAACTAGCAACACACACGCACACAACTAACAACACACACACACACAACTAACAACACACACGCACACAACTAACAACACACACACAAGACACACACACACACAACTAACACACACAAGACACACACAGACAGACACACACACACACACATACTTCACACACACAACACACACACACACAACTAACAACACCCACACACAGTCACACACACACTCACACGCACACGCACACACACACACCTCACACACACACACAACTAACAACACCCACACACACACATACAGATACACACACACACACACTCACAGACACACACACACACACACACACATACACGTTTTTGTTACCTGGTGGGTCCCTTTGACAGGGCCGTTCAGAATGGGACCCATAGACATAATCTTTTTTTACCAAGACTTTAAGTAATACAAAACAGTCAATAGAAACCAAACAACTATTTTAAAGGAATTTTATTTTAGATTTTGTTTTCGAATTGCAGTGATTCTATTTTTGACATAGAATTTAATGCCACTCCATGTCCGATGTCTAAGGTCATCTGGTGAGGCATTAATGCAGGCCAGGCAGTGAGACTTCCCAGGGACCTTTCCAGTCTGTATGAAAGGTGTCATGGTCTTCTCCACAGCCTTCACCTCAGATGCAGACCATGGCTTTCTCTAACGTTCTAGGGAGAGAAATAAAAATATATTAGCAATATACACTCCCAGGGTGAGGACCAAGCAGCCTGGCTGTAATCCCCCACCTGGTACACTTACCAGAAGGGGCACTGCCACTACCATGGGGTGCATCTGGATGAATGGTTGAAGGTTCTCCGCTTGAAGTTTCTTTTAGCCCGTCCGTTTGTGAGAGGATCTCTACTGCTCTCCCTGTCGCACAGAAAATAAAAATACAAGTGGCCTTTAGGGGAAAAAAATCATACATATTTTAATAATATCAAGAATCACCTTCAGGCTCAATTTGTATCTGGTCGAGGCTCTTTCCTTCGAATTCCGTCACTCTTCCCTGCTCCATGGCCATCAACACTTTGCTGATTTTGGCCAGCTCCAGTGTCCCCTCTGGTAGTCTGTAATATTGCCTGTGGATGCGAATGTCATGGCCGAGGAAGTTGGCAAGTATGTCCATCTCATTCTCTTTCATATTGAGAACTGTAGACATAGTAGCTATGTGCTTTCTAAGTTTGGTTGAGGATAGCATCTCTGGATGCACCGCACCACATTCTTTGGCTACCTGGCGTAGGGAGTCTGATCCCCTGATGTGGGTGTCTGCGCCCGGGCGGGAAAAGAAGTATGGGTTATGGTCAGAGATGGAACAGGCCCTTCTGTTCTCCACCAGCACCTCCATCGAAGCAATCATTTCAGGAGTCAAAAGAACCGGCACTTTCCGACTTCTTTTCCCTTTAATTTCAATGCGTTGAAAATGCTGACACAGCTTTTTCTCAAGTTGGGACAGTCCCAGAGCAATGTCAGAATGGATCCCAGTCTTACTTCTTAAGGTAAAGGCTGTCAGTGGCATCTTTGAAACCTCACCTTCCCTTCTTCGATTGAAAATGATGACCTCACAAAGAGTCAAAACTGCCAGTTTAGACCAATGCTTAGACGTTGGCTCACTTATTAGGGTTTGCACATATTCAGGTCGACATACCTCAATATGTGCATGCATGGCTCTAACGTCCTCAGTCAGAGGGAGCAGGTCCGGAGTGTTCCACTTGGCTTGCCGGAGGGTCTGTAGGGCAGCAGAAGAAACACAGACGTCCCACCTCTTCTCAAAAAGCAGCCGGCTTCGTTGGAGGTTTTTAATAAATAGTTCATCAACACAATGCTCCATTTTTGAGTCACATTCAAGAATATCTGCTAGCTTTCTGAGGCTATGGCCGAGTTTGAGGGCCAAGGATGGAGTCTTGTATTGATTTGTTTCCTCATCATATCCAGCCACAGACCTGACTGCATCAATCACATGGTTAAAGTTGGAAGGAATAAAGAAATCCTTAATTGTTTTCAGTTTCCCTGCGGTTTTTGCTTCGTTAATTAACCTACCGACTTCTCTCATTTTCTGCCTAATGTAATCATGCTTAGTCTTATCATGCCCGTGTTTTAAGTACAGGTGCTCTCCGAGTCTCAGAATCCCCTTTTCTGCTTTGACAACACCCGTGACCTCATCCTGATGCATTGCCCAAATTAAAGACCACAGCTTTTTGCTGATGCCCTCCGGTACAGGCTGGGCTAGGGAGCAGAGGGACTGGACCCTACTTCTACCTGGTTTAGCCTGGGCATCTTTCTGTGAAAGCCGGCACCTGGCCACATGCCTCCACAGCGACTTTCGCTTAAGCAATGCCCCACAGTCTATACAGTGCAAAAACTCACTGGATTTAACTGGGGAATTTGGCTGTTTAGCTGGGACTAAAGTTCCAATGCCGGCCTTTAAAACCTCAACATTGTGCTCACGGTTTCCACTATTCCTGATCAAATCAAACTGAAGTTTACGTGCTTTAGATTTCACAGGTAGAGCCAATGCTCTGGCTACGTCACTTTCATTTCCATGTTTTCTAGTCAAATGACGGGACATTTTGTGGCAGGACATTGAACAGTAGAGGCAGAAGTGTCTCTTGCTGTATACTCGCCCCCCATTTTTCTTCTTTTGCAGCTGCATGATAACAATCTTATTTGCCTTTGGTTCGTCACTTTCCGAGTCTTGAAGAAAAGTGTTTTTGATTTTTCTTTTTCCATACTTTTTTACAGGTTTCTTCTTGACAGTTAAATCGTCAGAATCTGAGTCGACTTCATCAATTAGGGACTCTTGACTAAGCTGCACAAACAACAAATAATTTGTAATCATTCTATATAACAATTTGAAGTCATGACTTGTAGTCAGCACTTACCAGTGGTTTGTAAGCGTGCGCTTCAGTGTGCTCCTCCATGATTTCTTGCAGCCTAATGAACCACACACTTGCACCTTTTTCTAGCCTGACACCTGATTTCCTCTGTTGTGCTGCTCCATGATTGGCTCCAGCCTGCTGGACTGAAATTGCCCCAGTGTGCCCCTCCTTGATATCCCGCAACCCACCACCAGGGTTCCGACACATAACACACTTTTTTCAGGAAAGTAAACCTCCAGGGGTCCTTTCCATATTTTTACAGAGACTGCATAAGGACCGTTAGAAAAGCATTACCCATTGATTATTAAGCTTGGACCAGTGGGGTCCGGTGTTCGGGCCCCACCACGTAAAACCAGTCCCCATGACACTTTCTGAGTGGTTAGCCTCTGAGCTCTGAGGACAGACAGACTTTAAAGGCCTGTGTTTCTAATCTGCTGTTGGAGAATCAACAGTTCAGAGAAACTGCTGTGGTTCAGGACCACACAGAAACCCTGGCTTTGTGTTTATATCCTCATGACTCTGGTCCTCCTCCTCTGGTCCTCCTCCTCTGGTCCTCCTTCTCTGACCTCCTCTTCTCCTCCTGCAGCTCCTCTGGTCCTTCTTCTCTGACCTCCTCTTCTCCTCCTGCAGCTCCTCTGGTCCTCCTTCTCTGACCTCCTCTTCTCCTCCTGCAGCTCCTCTGGTCCTCCTGCTCTGACCTCCTCTTCTCCTCCTGCAGCTCCTCTGGTCCTTCTGCTCTGACCTCCTCTTCTCCTCTTGCAGCTCCTCTGGTCCTTCTGCTCTGACCTCCTCTTCTCCTCCTGCAGCTCCTCTGGTCCTCCTGCTCTGACCTCCTCTTCTCCTCCTGCAGCTCCCTGAGTGCAGACGCAGAGGCAGACGGGTCGTTCCGCAGAGAAGGCGTCGGTCGTCAGAGCGTGTCGGAGAAACGAACCAAACAGTTCCAGGACGCCACCCACATGGTCTCCTCCTGCAAGTCCAAGAGCATGGACCTGGGTATGTCTCCTCCTCTGCTCCTCCTCTGCTCCTCCACCTCTTCACCTCTTCTGCTCCTCCACCTCTTCTGCTCCTCCACCTACTTTCTCCTTCACCTCCTCTCTCCTCCACCTCCTCTCTCCTCCACCTCCTCTCTCCTCCACCTCCTTTGCTCCTTCACCTCGTTTGCTCCTTCACCTACTTTCTCCTTCACCTCCTCTCTCCTCCACCTCCTTTGCTCCTTCACCTACTTTCTCCTTCACCTCCTCTCTCCTCCACCTCTTCTGCTCCTTCACCTACTTTCTCCTTCACCTCCTCTCTCCTCCACCTCTTCTGCTCCTTCACCTACTTTCTCCTTCACCTCCTCTCTCCTCCACCTCTTCTGCTCCTTCACCTACTTTCTCCTTCACCTCCTCTCTCCTCCACCTCTTCTGCTCCTTCACCTACTTTCTCCTTCACCTCCTCTCTCCTCCACCTCCTCTGCTCCTTCACCTACTTTCTCCTTCACCTCCTCTCTCCTTCACCTCCTCTCTCCTCCACCTCCTCTGCTCCTTCACCTACTTTCTCCTTCACCTCCTCTCTCCTCCACCTCCTCTCTCCTCCACCTCCTCTGCTCCTTCACCTACTTTCTCCTTCACCTCCTCTCTCCTTCACCTCCTCTCTCCTCCACCTCCTCTGCTCCTTCACCTACTTTCTCCTTCACCTCCTCTCTCCTCCACCTCCTCTCTCCTCCACCTCCTCTGCTCCTTCACCTACTTTCTCCTTCACCTCCTCTCTCCTTCACCTCCTCTCTCCTCCACCTCCTCTGCTCCTTCACCTCCTCTGCTCCTTCACCTCCTCTCTCCTCCACCTCCTCTCTCCTCCACCTCCTTTGCTCCTCCTTTGGACCGAGACTTCTCTTTGAGCCAGACTTTATCTCCATTAAACTTTTTGCAACTGTAACTAGACTTGGCGCCAAAGTAACGGTGATCTGCGTTCTGATTGGCCGCCGCAGACTGAGTGGATGATGTCATTGGCTGAGAGCTTTAGTTGTAAATGCAGTTGTTATCGGGGTTTGATCAGCTGCTAATCCAACTGAAGTGAAAGTTAATGTGATTATTCTACAGCTGAGGAGGCGGCGGCTTATCTCTCCTCCACCAATCAGCTTTCAGCAACAATATTAGTGGAAACTGAACCCAACAGAGATAAGAGCAAATGACCCACCACCGACAGGCTGCCCTGTCTCTGTACTGAACTAAACTGTACCATACTGTACCGTACTGTGCCGTACTGTGCTAAAACTGTACTGTCCTGTCCTGTCTCTGTACTGAACTAAACTGTACCATACTGTACCATACTGTACCGTACTGTACCGTACTGTGCTAAAACTCTACTGTCCTGTCTCTGTACTGTACTAAACTGTACCATACTGTACCGTACTGTGCCATACTGTGCTAAAACTCTACTGTCCTGTCCTGTCTCTGTACTGAACTAAACTGTACCATACTGTACCGTACTGTGCCATACTGTGCTAAAACTCTACTGTCCTGCCCTGTCTCTGTACTGAACTAAACTGTACCATACTGTACCGTACTGTGCCATACTGTGCTAAAACTCTACTGTCCTGCCCTGTCTCTGTACTGAACTAAACTGTACCATACTGTACCGTACTGTGCCATACTGTGCTAAAACTCTACTGTCCTGCCCTGTCTCTGTACTGTACTAAACTGTACCATACTGTACCGTACTGTGCCATACTGTGCTAAAACTCTACTGTCCTGTCCTGTCTCTGTACTGAACCAAACTGTACCATACTGTACCGTACTGTGCCATACTGTGCTAAAACTCTACTGTCCTGTCCTGTCTCTGTACTGAACTAAACTGTACCATACTGTACCGTACTGTGCTAAAACTCTACTGTCCTGCCCTGTCTCTGTACTGTACTAAACTGTACCATACTGTACCATACTGTGCTAAAACTCTACTGTCCTGTCCTGTCTCTGTACTAAACTAAACTGTACCGTACTGTACCGTACTGTGCCATACTGTGCTAAAACTCTACTGTCCTGTCCTGTCTCTGTACTGTACTAAACTGTACCATACTGTACCGTACTGTGCAATACTGTGCTAAAACTCTACTGTCCTGTCCTGTCTCTGTACTGTACTAAACTGTACCATACTGTACCGTACTGTGCCATACTGTGCTAAAACTCTACTGTCCTGTCCTGTCTCTGTACTGAACTAAACTGTACCATACTGTACCATACTGTACCGTACTGTGCCATACTGTGCTAAAACTCTACTGTCCTGTCCTGTCTCTGTACTGAACTAAACTGTACCATACTGTACCGTACTGTACCATACTGTGCTAAAATTCTACTGTACTCCCCTACCCTTTCCCCCTCTGCTCTCCTCTTTCTCCTCTTCTTCACTAACACCTCCTCTCTCCTGTCTCCTCTGCTTCACTAACACCTCCTCTCTCCTGTCTCCTCTGCTTCACTAACACCTCCTCTCTCCTCTTTCTCCTCTTCTTCACTAACACCTCCTCTCTCCTGTCTCCTCTGCTTCACTAACACCTCCTCTCTCTCCTCTGTCTCCTCTGCTTCACTAACACCTCCTCTCTCCTCTGTCTCCTCTTCTTCACTAACACCTCCTCTCTCCTCTGTCTCCTCTGCTTCACTAACACCTCCTCTCTCCTCTGTCTCCTCTGCTTCACTAACACCTCCTCTCTCCTCTGTCTCCTCTTCTTCACTAACACCTCCTCTCTCCTGTCTCCTCTGCTTCACTAACACCTCCTCTCTCCTCTGTCTCCTCTGCTTCACTAACACCTCCTCTCTCCTCTGTCTCCTCTGCTTCACTAACACCTCCTCTCTCCTCTGTCTCCTCTGCTTCACTAACACCTCCTCTCTCCTCTGTCTCCTCTGCTTCACTAACACCTCCTCTCTCCTCTGTCTCCTCTTCTTCACTAACACCTCCTCTCTCCTGTCTCCTCTGCTTCACTAACACCTCCTCTCTCCTCTGTCTCCTCTGCTTCACTAACACCTCCTCTCTCCTGTCTCCTCTTCTTCACTAACACCTCCTCTCTCCTCTGTCTCCTCTTCTTCACTAACACCTCCTCTCTCCTCTGTCTCCTCTGCTTCACTAACACCTCCTCTCTCCTGTCTCCTCTTCTTCACTAACACCTCCTCTCTCCTCTGTCTCCTCTGCTTCACTAACACCTCCTCTCTCTCCTCTTTCTCCTCTGCTTCACTAACACCTCCTCTCTCTCCTCTGTCTCCTCTGCTTCAGTCTTGGATGAGGAGGTGGTGAGAACAAACCGAGGTGAGGCTAGACTTAAATCAGAGACCTGCTGTAGACCTCAGACCTGAACCTCAGAGACCTGCTGTAGACCTTAGACCTGAACCTCAGAGACCTGCTGTAGACCTCAGACCTGAACCTCAGAGACCTGCTGTAGACCTCAGACCTGAACCTCAGAGACCTGCTGTAGACCTCAGACCTGAACCTCAGAGACCTGCTGTAGACCTCAGACCTGAACCTCAGAGACCTGCTGTAGACCTTAGACCTGAACCTCAGAGACCTGCTGTAGACCTTAGACCTGAACCTCAGAGACCTGCTGTAGACCTCAGACCTGAACCTCAGAGACCTGCTGTAGACCTCAGACCTGAACCTCAGAGACCTGCTGTAGACCTCAGACCTGAACCTCAGAGACCTGCTGTAGACCTCAGACCTGAACCTCAGAGACCTGCTGTAGACCTCAGACCTGAACCTCAGAGACCTGCTGTAGACCTCAGACCTGAACCTCAGAGACCTGCTGTAGACCTCAGACCTGAACCTCAGAGACCTGCTGTAGACCTCAGACCTGAACCTCAGAGACCTGCTGTAGACCTCAGACCTGAACCTCAGAGACCTGCTGTAGACCTCAGACCTGAACCTCAGAGACCTGCTGTAGACCTCAGACCTGAACCTCAGAGACCTGCTGTAGACCTCAGACCTGAACCTCAGAGACCTGCTGTAGACCTCAGACCTGAACCTCAGAGACCTGCTGTAGACCTCAGAGCTGAACCTCAGAGACCTGCTGTAGACCTCAGACCTGAACCTCAGAGACCTGCTGTAGACCTCAGAGCTGAACCTCAGAGACCTGCTGTAGACCTCAGACCTGAACCTCAGAGACCTGCTGTAGACCTCAGACCTGAACCTCAGAGACCTGCTGTAGACCTCAGACCTGAACCTCAGAGACCTGCTGTGGACCTCAGACCTGCTGCAGAGACCTGCTGTAGACCTCCTCTCTCCTCTGTCTCCTCTGCTTCACTAACACCTCCTCTCTCTCCTCTGTCTCCTCTGCTTCACTAACACCTCCTCTCTCCTGTCTCCTCTGCTTCACTAACACCTCCTCTCTCCTGTCTCCTCTGCTTCACTAACACCTCCTCTCTCCTCTTTCTCCTCTTCTTCACTAACACCTCCTCTCTCCTCTGTCTCCTCTGCTTCACTAACACCTCCTCTCTCCTGTCTCCTCTGCTTCACTAACACCTCCTCTCTCCTGTCTCCTCTGCTTCACTAACACCTCCTCTCTCCTCTGTCTCCTCTTCTTCACTAACACCTCCTCTCTCCTCTGTCTCCTCTGCTTCACTAACACCTCCTCTCTCCTGTCTCCTCTTCTTCACTAACACCTCCTCTCTCCTCTGTCTCCTCTGCTTCACTAACACCTCCTCTCTCCTCTGTCTCCTCTTCTTCACTAACACCTCCTCTCTCCTGTCTCCTCTGCTTCACTAACACCTCCTCTCTCTCCTCTTTCTCCTCTGCTTCACTAACACCTCCTCTCTCTCCTCTGTCTCCTCTGCTTCAGTCTTGGATGAGGAGGTGGTGAGAACAAACCGAGGTGAGGCTAGACTTAAATCAGAGACCTGCTGTAGACCTCAGACCTGAACCTCAGAGACCTGCTGTAGACCTCAGACCTGAACCTCAGAGACCTGCTGTAGACCTCAGACCTGAACCTCAGAGACCTGCTGTAGACCTCAGACCTGAACCTCAGAGACCTGCTGTAGACCTCAGACCTGAACCTCAGAGACCTGCTGTGGACCTCAGACCTGAACCTCAGAGACCTGCTGTAGACCTCAGACCTGAACCTCAGAGACCTGCTGTAGACCTCAGACCTGAACCTCAGAGACCTGCTGTAGACCTCAGACCTGAACCTCAGAGACCTGCTGTAGACCTCAGACCTGAACCTCAGAGACCTGCTGTAGACCTCAGAGCTGAACCTCAGAGACCTGCTGTAGACCTCAGACCTGAACCTCAGAGACCTGCTGTAGACCTCAGACCTGAACCTCAGAGACCTGCTGTAGACCTCAGACCTGAACCTCAGAGACCTGCTGTAGACCTCAGACCTGAACCTCAGAGACCTGCTGTAGACCTCAGACCTGAACCTCAGAGACCTGCTGTGGACCTCAGACCGGAACCTCAGAGACCTGCTGTAGACCTCAGACCTGAACCTGAGAGACCTGTTGTAGACCTCAGACCTGAACCTCAGAGACCTGCTGTAGACCTTAGACCTGAACCTCAGAGACCTGCTGTAGACCTCAGACCTGAACCTCAGAGACCTGCTGTAGACCTCAGACCTGAACCTCAGAGACCTGCTGTAGACCTCAGACCTGAACCTCAGAGACCTGCTGTAGACCTCAGACCTGAACCTCAGAGACCTGCTGTAGACCTCAGACCTGAACCTCAGAGACCTGCTGTAGACCTCAGACCTGAACCTCAGAGACCTGCTGTAGACCTTAGACCTGAACCTCAGAGACCTGCTGTAGACCTCAGACCTGAACCTCAGAGACCTGCTGTAGACCTCAGACCTGAACCTCAGAGACCTGCTGTGGACCTCAGACCTGAACCTCAGAGACCTGCTGTAGACCTCAGACCTGAACCTCAGAGACCTGCTGTAGACCTCAGACCTGAACCTCAGAGACCTGCTGTGGACCTCAGACCTGAACCTCAGAGACCTGCTGTGGACCTCAGACCTGAACCTCAGAGACCTGCTGTAGACCTTAGACCTGAACCTCAGAGACCTGCTGTAGACCTCAGACCTGAACCTCAGAGACCTGCTGTAGACCTCAGACCTGAACCTCAGAGACCTGCTGTAGACCTCAGACCTGAACCTCAGAGACCTGCTGTAGACCTCAGACCTGAACCTCAGAGACCTGCTGTAGACCTCAGACCTGAACCTCAGAGACCTGCTGTAGACCTCAGACCTGAACCTCAGAGACCTGCTGTAGACCTCAGACCTGAACCTCAGAGACCTGCTGTAGACCTCAGACCTGAACCTCAGAGACCTGCTGTAGACCTCAGACCTGAACCTCAGAGACCTGCTGTAGACCTTAGACCTGAACCTCAGAGACCTGCTGTAGACCTCAGACCTGAACCTCAGAGACCTGCTGTAGACCTCAGACCTGAACCTCAGAGACCTGCTGTGGACCTCAGACCTGAACCTCAGAGACCTGCTGTAGACCTCAGACCTGAACCTCAGAGACCTGCTGTAGACCTCAGACCTGAACCTCAGAGACCTGCTGTGGACCTCAGACCTGAACCTCAGAGACCTGCTGTGGACCTCAGACCTGAACCTCAGAGACCTGCTGTAGACCTTAGACCTGAACCTCAGAGACCTGCTGTAGACCTCAGACCTGAACCTCAGAGACCTGCTGTAGACCTCAGACCTGAACCTCAGAGACCTGCTGTAGACCTCAGACCTGAACCTCAGAGACCTGCTGTAGACCTCAGACCTGAACCTCAGAGACCTGCTGTAGACCTCAGACCTGAACCTCAGAGACCTGCTGTAGACCTCAGACCTGAACCTCAGAGACCTGCTGTAGACCTCAGACCTGAACCTCAGAGACCTGCTGTAGACCTCAGACCTGAACCTCAGAGACCTGCTGTAGACCTCAGACCTGAACCTCAGAGACCTGCTGTAGACCTCAGACCTGAACCTCAGAGACCTGCTGTAGACCTCAGACCTGAACCTCAGAGACCTGCTGTAGACCTCAGACCTGAACCTCAGAGACCTGCTGTAGACCTCAGACCTGAACCTCAGAGACCTGCTGTGGACCTCAGACCTGAACCTCAGAGACCTGCTGTAGACCTCAGACCTGAACCTGAGAGACCTGCTGTAGACCTCAGACCTGAACCTCAGAGACCTGCTGTAGACCTTAGACCTGAACCTCAGAGACCTGCTGTAGACCTCAGACCTGAACCTCAGAGACCTGCTGTAGACCTCAGACCTGAACCTCAGAGACCTGCTGTGGACCTCAGACCTGAACCTCAGAGACCTGCTGTAGACCTCAGACCTGAACCTCAGAGACCTGCTGTAGACCTCAGACCTGAACCTCAGAGACCTGCTGTGGGACCTCAGACCTGAACCTCAGAGACCTGCTGTAGACCTCAGACCTGAACCTCAGAGACCTGCTGTGGACCTCAGACCTGAACCTCAGAGACCTGCTGTGGACCTCAGACCTGAACCTCAGAGACCTGCTGTAGACCTCAGACCTGAACCTCAGAGACCTGCTGTAGACCTCAGACCTGAACCTCAGAGACCTGCTGTGGACCTCAGACCTGAACCTCAGAGACCTGCTGTAGACCTCAGACCTGAACCTCAGAGACCTGCTGTGGACCTCAGACCTGAACCTCAGAGACCTGCTGTGGACCTCAGACCTGAACCTCAGAGACCTGCTGTAGACCTCAGAGCTGAACCTCAGAGACCTGCTGTAGACCTCAGACCTGAACCTCAGAGACCTGCTGTAGACCTCAGACCTGAACCTCAGAGACCTGCTGTAGACCTCAGACCTGAACCTCAGAGACCTGCTGTAGACCTCAGACCTGAACCTCAGAGACCTGCTGTAGACCTCAGACCTGAACCTCAGAGACCTGCTGTAGACCTCAGACCTGAACCTCAGAGACCTGCTGTAGACCTTAGACCTGAACAACAACCAACAATTAGCAACGTCTACAGCCTCAGTCCTGGGTCTACAGTCTCAGTCCTGGGTCTACAGCCTCAGTCCTGGGTCTACAGCCTCAGTCCTGGGTCTACAGCCTCAGTCCTGGGTCTACAGCCTCAGTCCTGGGTCTACAGCCTCAGTCCTGGGTCTACAGCCTCAGTCCTGGGTCTACATTCTCAGTCCTGGGTCTACAGCCTCAGTCCTGGGTCTACATTCTCAGTCCTGGGTCTACAGCCTCAGTCCTGGGTCTACAGTCTCAGTCCTGGGTCTACAGCCTCAGTCCTGGGTCTAAAGCCTCAGTCCTGGCAGCGGCAGAAGTCACCGAGCTGTGAATTTCTCTGTCTCTGTCTGTGTGACTGTGAGTCTGTGAACAGCCGCATTAATCAAAAATGGCCCATTTCTTAGAAGGATTTAACTGTTTAGTTTCTGCCTTTTCCATTCACAGATTTGCAGTAAACTTTAATGGCCTCAGTACGAGGCCTGGAGCCACAGCAGCATTTACTAAAAGCATCAGCAACAAGTTTATTCACTTAATGAACTCTGCTCTCTCTCTGGTCTCTCTCTGGTGTCTCTGGTCTCTCTCTGGTCTCTCTCTGTTCTTTCTCTCTGGTCTCTTTCTGGTCTCTACCTTGTTTGGATCAGAGATGTCAGTTAAATACATCATAGGAGACAAACTCTGTGAAATTTGAGATTATTATACCTGAGACCAGGACTAATGTGAGAGGACTTCAGGACAGAGACCTGAGACCAGGACTAATGTGAGAGGACTTCAGGACAGAGACCTGAGACCAGGACTAATGTGAGAGGACTTCAGGACAGAGACCTGAGACCAGGACTAATGTGAGAGGACTTCAGGACAAAGACCTGAGACCAGGACTAATGTGAGAGGACTTCAGGACAGAGACCTGAGACCAGGACTAATGTGAGAGGACTTCAGGACAGAGACCTGAGACCAGGACTAATGTGAGAGGACTTCAGGACAGAGACCTGAGACCAGGACTAATGTGAGAGGACTTCAGGACAGAGACCTGAGACCAGGACTAATGTGAGAGGACTTCAGGACAGAGACCTGAGACCAGGACTAATGTGAGAGGACTTCAGGACAGAGACCTGAGACCAGGACTAATGTGAGAGGACTTCAGGACAGAGACCTGAGACCAGGACTAATGTGAGAGGACTTCAAGACAGAGACCTGAGACCAGGACTAATGTGAGAGGACTTCAGGACAGAGACCTGAGACCAGGACTAATGTGAGAGGACTTCAGGACAGAGACCTGAGACCAGGACTAATGTGAGAGGACTTCAGGACCAGTGGCGGAGCCAGACTTTTAAACAGAGGGTGGCAAGGGTTTTTTTGAGGGGTCCACATTTATACTATTCCGAAATTTTATTTCACACAAAAACTGGCTAAACGATACATTTTAATCTTAATCTTGTCATTATTTTTAATATAAAGTGAACTGAGAGCACACTTGGAAACTACAAAGCAAAAAAGTGTGTTTAAATAGTAGTCTTAACAAAAAAGTGCAAAATAACATAATTCAAACATTGCATTACATTTTTCTTTTAACAAATTTAGCAAATTCCTACGGTTCTGGTGTAAAGCAGCAAAGATGTTGACATACTCATCCATATTCAGCCCTCCTTGACCCTACACTGAGGATACCAAGACGACTCAATCATCTGCCATAGTAGTTCTGAGATGGTTTTTAGGGCAGAGAAACTTCTTTCACAAGACGCAGTATTGACAGGTATTAAAAAGAGTGTGTGTGAAAAAACGCCTTCTGCCAATAGACAATCCTGCACCTGTCTGCGACACCCTCTCATTCTCTGAAACTCAATTATATAAGCTATATTTTAATACAACACAACAAATTCCTCATCATCTCAAAACATACTGCCTCCGAGTCTGACCTCCAGGTGAGGTTTCATCATCCTGATCTACAGCCTTTTCCTAACAAAAAAAGGCCTGTAGACAATGTTTCCTCCTTTTCTTTTCATGTTTACACTAAAGGGAAGAGGCAATGGAAAATACACACGCATGCACACCCGCACGCACACAGGCACGCACACACACACTGCCACACACAGGCACGCACACACACACTGCCACACACAGGCACGCACACACGTACACAGGCACGCAGACCCACACTGGCACACACAGGCACGCACACACACGCAGACATACTGGCACGCTCACACACGCACACAGGCACGCATACAGGCACGCACACACACATACACTAAAAGTTCTACAAACTGAACAGTAATGCGCTGCAGTACGTGTGTCAATACTTTGTGTCAAATATAAACGGTTGGCTCTGCGTTGCTAACTTACCTCTTTGTTTTCATCACGACTTGGGCACAACAACCCAAAGCATTAGCATACAGCACCGGCTCCACACGGAGTCAGGGTGCGTTCACAGACGGGGGAAACCGTGGGAATTTTTAGCTTTTGGCGGAAAAAGTGCGGAAGATTCTCAAGATTAACATTATTAAATTGCCGTCTTCCGAGGGGGGCACTGGGGGTGGCAAGGATATTTTTAGAGGTGGCAGTGGCCACCCTGGCTACCCCTCTGGCTCCGCCACTGTTCAGGACAGAGACCTGAGACCAGGACTAATGTGAGAGGACTTCAGGACAGAGACCTGAGACCAGGACTAATGTGGGAGGACTTCAGGACAGAGACCTGAGACCAGGACTAATGTGAGAGGACTTCAGGACAGAGACCTGAGACCAGGACTAATGTGAGAGGACTTCAGGACAGAGACCTGAGACCAGGACTAATGTGAGAGGACTTCAGGACAGAGACCTGAGACCAGGACTAATGTGAGAGGACTTCAGGACAGAGACCTGAGACCAGGACTAATGTGAGAGGACTTCAGGACAGAGACCTGAGACCAGGACTAATGTGAGAGGACTTCAGGACAGAGACCTGAGACCAGGACTAATGTGAGAGGACTTCAGGACAGAGACCTGAGACCAGGACTAATGTGAGAGGACTTCAGGACAGAGACCTGAGACCAGGACTAATGTGAGAGGACTTCAGGACAGAGACCTGAGACCAGGACTAATGTGAGAGGACTTCAGGACAGAGACCTGAGACCAGGACTAATGTGAGAGGACTTCAGGACAGAGACCTGAGACCAGGACTAATGTGAGAGGACTTCAGGACAGAGACCTGAGACCAGGACTAATGTGAGAGGACTTCAGGACAGAGACCTGAGACCAGGACTAATGTGAGAGGACTTCAGGACAGAGACCTGAGACCAGGACTAATGTGAGAGGACTTCAGGACAGAGACCTGAGACCAGGACTAATGTGAGAGGACTTCAGGACAGAGACCTGAGACCAGGACCGGACTAATGTGAGAGGACTTCAGGACAGAGACCTGGACCAGGACTAATGTGAGAGGACTTCAGGACAGAGACCTGAGACCAGGACTAATGTGAGAGGACTTCAGGACAGAGACCTGAGACCAGGACTAATGTGAGAGGACTTCAGGACAGAGACCTGAGACCAGGACTAATGTGAGAGGACTTCAGGACAGAGACCTGAGACCAGGACTAATGTGAGAGGACTTCAGGACAGAGACCTGAGACCAGGACTAATGTGAGAGGACTTCAGGACAGAGACCTGGGACCAGGACTAATGTGAGAGGACTTCAGGACAGAGACCTGGGACCAGGACTAATGTGAGAGGACTTCAGGACAGAGACCTGAGACCAGGACTAATGTGAGAGGACTTCAGGACAGAGACCTGAGACCAGGACTAATGTGAGAGGACTTCAGGACAGAGACTTGAGACCAGGACTAATGTGAGAGGACTTCAGGACAGAGACCAGGACTAATGTAAGAGGACTTCAGGACAGAGACCTGAGACCAGGACTGATGTGAGAGGACTTCAGGACAGAGACCTGAGACCAGGACTAATGTGAGAGGACTTCAGGACAGAGACCTGAGACCAGGACTAATGTGAGAGGACTTCAGGACAGAGACCTGAGACCAGGACTAATGTAAGAGGACTTCAGGACAGAGACCTGAGACCAGGACTAATGTGAGAGGACTTCAGGACAGAGACCTGAGACCAGGACTAATGTGGGAGGACTTCAGGACAGAGACCTGAGACCAGGACTAATGTAAGAGGACTTCAGGACAGAGACCTGAGACCAGGACTAATGTGAGAGGACTTCAGGACAGAGACCTGAGACCAGGACTAATGTGAGAGGACTTCAGGACAGAGACCCGAGACCAGGACTAATGTGAGAGGACTTCAGGACAGAGACCTGAGACCAGGACCAATGTGAGAGGACTTCAGAACAGAGACCTGAGACCAGGACTAATGTGAGAGGACTTCAGAACAGAGACCTGAGACCAGGACTAATGTGAGAGGACTTCAGGACAGAGACCTGAGACCAGGACTAATGTAAGAGGACTTCAGGACAGAGACTTGAGACCAGGACTAATGTGAGAGGACTTCAGGACAGAGACCCGAGACCAGGACTAATGTGAGAGGACTTCAGGACAGAGACCTGAGACCAGGACTAATGTGGGAGGACTTCAGGACAGAGACCTGAGACCAGGACTAATGTGAGAGGACTTCAGGACAGAGACCTGAGACCAGGACTAATGTGAGAGGACTTCAGGACAGAGACCTGAGACCAGGACTAATGTGAGAGGACTTCAGGACAGAGACCTGAGACCAGGACTAATGTGAGAGGACTTCAGGACAGAGACCTGAGACCAGGACTAATGTGAGAGGACTTCAGGACAGAGACCTGAGACCAGGACTAATGTGAGAGGACTTCAGGACAGAGACCTGAGACCAGGACTAATGTGAGAGGACTTCAGGACAGAGACCTGAGACCAGGACTAATGTGAGAGGACTTCAGGACAGAGACCTGAGACCAGGACTAATGTGAGAGGACTTCAGGACAGAGACCTGAGACCAGGACTAATGTAAGAGGACTTCAGGACAGAGACCTGAGACCAGGACTAATGTAAGAGGACTTCAGGACAGAGACCTGAGACCAGGACTAATGTGAGAGGACTTCAGGACAGAGACCTGAGACCAGGACTAATGTGAGAGGACTTCAGGACAGAGACCTGAGACCAGGACTAATGTGAGAGGACTTCAGGACAGAGACCTGAGACCAGGACTAATGTGAGAGGACTTCAGGACAGAGACCTGAGACCAGGACTAATGTGAGAGGACTTCAGGACAGAGACCTGAGACCAGGACTAATGTGAGAGGACTTCAGGACAGAGACCTGAGACCAGGACTAATGTGAGAGGACTTCAGGACAGAGACCTGAGACCAGGACTAATGTGAGAGGACTTCAGGACAGAGACCTGAGGACCAGGACTAATGTAAGAGGACTTCAGGACAGAGACCTGAGACCAGGATTAATGTGAGAGGACTTCAGGACAGAGACCTGAGACCAGGACTAATGTGAGAGGACTTCAGGACAGAGACCTGAGACCAGGACTAATGTGAGAGGACTTCAGGACAGAGACCTGAGACCAGGACTATAGTGATGGTACTTCCTGGTTCCTGGTCTTTCACTAAATCTTCACAGATGTATTTTTCTTCCTGGTCTTTCTGCTGAACGCTGCAGTCGAGTGAGTCCCAGAGTTCCGTCTCATTGAGAGCCCCTCAGACATGACGGGGGGGGGGGGGGGGGGGGGAGCCTGTTCTAAAACTTGTGTGTAAAAGTTCTCTGTGAACTCTGCTGTGATGTATTTAGACAGGGGCCTCAGTGTCACATCTGCAGGGGCCCTCAGGTCCCTCAGGGGCCCTAACCCCAGCTCATAACCCTGTCCCTGCTTCACACTCACAGACTCATCAGTGATTTTTCTGTTTATCCGCTTCACTCCTCACGCAGGAACTGAGACTGCAAGAATAGTGTCTGTTATTGCTGCCTCTGGGACATGGAGCATATTCCTCTACAGTTACAGACGTGATGGTCCTGGACTGGTCCTGGACTGGTCCTGGACTGGTCCTGGACTGGTCCTGGACTGGTGATTTAAACCAGGATGTCTGTTTCACACAGTCCCCCTCAGTCCTCCCCCCTCCCCTCTCTGGTCTCCCTCTGGTCTCTCTCTGGTCTCTCTCTGGTCTCTCTCTGGTCTCCCTCTGGTCTCTCTCTGGTCTCTCTCTGGTCTCTCTCTGGTCTCTCTCTGGTCCCTCTCTCTGGTCTCTCTCTGGTCTCTCTCTGGTCTCTCTCTGGTCTCTCTCTGGTCTCTCTCTGGTCTCTCTCTGGTCTCTCTCTGGTCTCTCTCTGGTCTCTCTCGGGTCTCTCTCGGGTCTCTCTCTGGTCTCTCTCGGGTCTCTCTCGGGTCTCTCTCTGGTCTCTCTCTGGTCTCTCTCTGGTCTCTCTCTGGTCTCTCTCTGGTCTCTCTCTGGTCTCTCTCTGGTCTCTCTCTGGTCTCTCTCTGGTCTCTCTCTGGTCTCTCTCTGGTCTCTCTCTCTGGTCTCTCTCTGGTCTCTCTCTGGTCTCTCTCTGGTCTCTCTCTGGTCTCTCTCTGGTCTCTCTCTGGTCTCTCTCTCTGGTCTCTCTCTGGTCTCTCTCTGGTCTCTCTCTGGTCTCTCTCTGGTCTCTCTCTGGTCTCTCTCTGGTCATGACTGTTTATTTAAACCGCTATGACTCTGTGGCCAAGAAGCCAGTCCCCCCCTCAGTTGTCCCCCCCCCCCCCCCCCCCCCTCTCCCCCCCCCCCCTCTCCCCCCCCCCCCCCCTCTCCCCCCCCCCCCCCCCCCCCCTGCTGTAGTAACAGGTAGTCCGTGTCCCGCTGACAGCAAAGACACAGTGTAGAGATCACATCTGATGTTATAATTTGAATAATATACGTCTGGTGCATAATGCATGTGTTTAGCATGTGCTGCTGATGCATCATGGGACATGTTTGATACAGATGCATCATGGGACATGTTTGATACAGATACCTCCAGTGTGAGGGCGTCACTCTGTCACTGTCTGAGTGAATGAATGTCACAATAATCCACATGTTTACAGAGAAACTCATATCAATCATATGTTCAATGTTTGGAGATTTGTAAACAGTGATTGCTTGTTTTGGAATGGGGAGACTTAGCTTAGTATTAGCAATAGCGTTAGCAATAGCATTAGCATTAGCATTAGTTTCAGTGTCACAGGTGTTTCCCAGACCTCGATATGTCGTGTTTCATAAGTGAACGACTGACTGAGGGTTTGGTTTCTTCCTTGTGTTTCTTCCTCTGGTCCTCGCTGGTCCTCTTTTGTCCTGGCTGGTCCTGGCTGGTCCTCTTTTGTCCTGGCTGGTCCTGGCTGGTCCTGGCCTCTGCAGGTTCGTCAGCCCCAGCTGTAGGACCCTCTCTGGGCCTGAAGAAGTCTGCGTCTCTGGAGAGTCTGCAGACGGCGATGGCGGAGGTCACGGTGTCTCGCTCTCGCTCCCACATCGTCCGGGGCCGCGGCTGCAACGAGAGCTTCAGAGCCGCCATCGACAAGTCCTACGAGAAAACTGGGTCCAGCACCGCCCCCAGCACCGCCCCCAGCACCGCCCCCACCACCGAGGACGACACCAGCATGGACACCTGTGAGTGACATCATACTCTGTGTCTGTGACGTCATACTCTGTGTCTGTGACATCATACTCTGTGTCTGTGACGTCATACTCTGTGTCTGTGACGTCATACTCTGTGACATCATCTACTCTGTGTCTGTGACGTCATACTCTGTGTCTGTGACGTCATACTCTGTGTCTGTGACGTCATACTCTGTGACATCATCTACTCTGTGTCTGTGACGTCATACTCTGTGTCTGTGACATCATATTCTGTGTCTGTGACGTCATACTCTGTGTCTGTGACGTCATACTCTGTGTCTGTGACATCATCTACTCTGTGTCTGTGACGTCATACTCTGTGTCTGTGACTTCATCTACTCTGTGTCTGTGACGTCATACTCTGTGTCTGTGACGTCATACTCTGTGTCTGTGACATCATCTACTCTGTGTCTGTGACATCATACTCTGTGTCTGTGACATCATCTACTCTGTGTCTGTGACATCATACTCTGTGTCTATGACATCATCTACTCTGTGTCTGTGACATCATACTCTGTGTCTGTGACATCATACTCTGTGTCTGTGACATCATACTCTGTGTCTGTGACATCATACTCTGTGTCTGTGACGTCATACTCTGTGTCTGTGACATCATAGTAGTAGCAGTAGAAGTTTTCCTCTGTCTGTGTGTATTTGTGAGGCTGAAGAGAGAGCGAGAGAGACTGAAGGACATGGGTTTGAGGAGAGAGAGAGAGACTGAAGGACATGGGTTTGAGAGAAGGACATGGGTTTGAGGAGAGAGAGAGAGAGAAGGACATGGGTTTGAGGAGAGAGAGAG